TGTTACTACCTGATTTATGTAAAGGTACTATAAAGGTAGATCTCCAAAAAAAGGCCTGTAGCTAAAGAATCGTTAAAAATATTAGTGAGTGGTTTGTACAATTCGAATGAACACATTTTTAGAATATTAGCAGGAACACCGTTCGGACCTGGGGAACAGCAGTACTTCAAAGAAGTTAAACCAATCAACACTTCAGCATCAGTAAGAACAGTTAAAGGATAATTGTTTACTTTTTTAATGCTATAACAATAATTAGAATTAAAAGTATAAGTAGAGTAAACTTTTTGAAAGAATTCGCCGAATATATCCGCAATTTCAACAGAGGTAGAGAGCTTTTTTGTTACCAAGCTTCATACTACCAGGGAATTGTCGGACTCTTCTTTTTGAATTAATAAATTATTAGAAAATTTCGGAATTGACTTAAAGTCTCTTCTCATTTAGATAAATAGTTAGAGTAACACCTTGAATTTTCAGTGATGTACTTACTTCTAGTTAGAATAATTAGAACAATTTAACGAAGAATTGAATTTTTTGAATTTTTCAAATAATTAACTTTTAGTATTTCGTAATTTCCTAAGATAAGGAGTGGACCAAGCAGGTTCTTCCTCAGGACTAACTTTAAAGGCTGGAACTGAGGATGAGAATGCATGATTTAAAATATTATAAAAGTATGAAACACGTGCATTTAAATTTCTTACGTTGTTGTTTACGACTTGAGATGAAATATTGATGTTTGGTGTTTTGACAGTAATGCAACCATAATAAATAAAATTCAATATTATGAAAATTCGATGCTTAAATTTATTATATTTATGGATTGAACAGTGTGGCTTGTTTGTTCGGGATACCGTAGTATTTTGTTGTTGCAAAATGGTCTGGCTTTATCCCTTTATTGTTGTTTTTATAAAAACAACGTTTGTTTATTAGTGGAGAACGATGGTAATGTTTACCAGGGGGTAAGGCAGGGAATACCTAGGTTTCGGAAAGAGCCACCAATCCTCATCAGTTCCCTTGTTTTTGTCTGGGATATTCTCCCCAGAAGTTATTTTAAAAATAACTTCTATGACAAAAAACATTTTTTTACCCAAGTGACGAGATCGTAAGCTCAATAGAAGAGGAACCAAAGAATTAAATAAAACTAAAATTCTCTTGGAAAGTCTTCTAAATCTTACAACCGCACTTATAAACATTTACATCTTTCTCCACTTGTTATGCTTTCGTTCAGCCTGAACGAAGTAGCATAACCATGTAAGTTGGTTTTGTCTGTTACAACAAAAACCCCTTCGTCGACCGTGCCTTGTCTATTAATAGAACAGTGTGGCTTGTTTGTTTTTTTGGATTTTTAGTTTAGCTAAGAGGTATGAGAAAATAGAGAGAATTATTAAAATAGACCTACTGAAAAAATTAAATTTAATTTGGTGGTTGAGCTGTTTTAACTGGTTCAGTGTTGACGGATATTAAAAGAAAAACACTTGTTTGCATCAAAAGTTAAACCCATAAAATAGTTGTAAGAATTGCTGATTTTCTTGGTCTTAAAATTAATTTTTATACTTTATAGAGGCACCACATCAATAGATAGCTGATATGTAGAATATAGGATAATTCGAAATTATATATAAGTTTCACAAACGAGTTTGATGGAATTCTTAAACCTATTTGCACCGTTATAAAAAAATTCAAACTTAACAGCTATGATATAGGGAATTATGTACCGCCTTCTTGAATCCACGTGTCAAAGTAAGGAAAGGCTTTTTTCAGCTGTGAAGTATATATGTTAACCCATAATTTTTGAACACACATGCCACTGTTGCTAACTCATCATTATCGTTGCATACGCCACTGTGTCAACGAACCAACGTCATATGACACCACCATCCACAAAATATGAAATATGTCAAGCAAGTAGAAACAAAATAAAATGTGAAAGACTCTAGACTCTAGACAGGATAATGAAACTTTATGAGCCTAAAAAAGGTTCTCCTAAATACTATGCAATTCTGAATGTGGTTAGAAATAAAATTGTAGGGAACGCTGATGCAGCGCTCGAATCTTATAATACCCCCTTAACTGGAACTCCATTTCTAAATGTTTAACTCTACATTACGCCGGGACCTTACAACTCTTGAATACTCTAGTGCAGGGAAATAGCGAGGTCCAAGATTTCTATCAGGAGGTATATTCACACCTGTTTCTCATAATGAATAAGCTATCTTGTTTGGATATTGGACGAGATTCCCTCGACATTCTAGCTCAAACCTACAGAGATAAGGCTCTGGATACTTTTATCCGAGGTCTTAAAGGCCAAATGTCTATTCATCTAGGGATGAAGGAGCCAAGAGACCTTCCACAAGCCCTTCAACTTTGTTTAAAAGTGGAAAACCAAATAGTTAGAGCTGATTTTGCTAATCGTGGGCAGAAAATCAATAAACCCAATTTTTTACCACCGCGAATTCAACACCGTCCGAATGTCTCTCCCAATTTTTATCCTCAGCCAGCTCACATACCCAATGTTCACCAGAATTCCCAACAGTTTAATAACAGTTTTCATCCAAGGAATTATTATAACCGAATGCCGCAAGGTCAACATTTTGGTAATAATTTTTTCCAACCCCCAAGACCAACCGCTCTAAAACCGCAACCCCGTCCAGAACCCTGGATATGGATTTTTCAGCTATGAAGTATATATTATCCGAACAGCGTAATCGATAGTCAGTGTTAAATTTTGGAGCATATATTAAGGTAAATATCAAATTACAAGTTGAATTTTTATTTAAAGATACAGTGTTTTTCATTTATTACTATTGCATTCCCGTACTTTTTAATGATAAAACTAGTGAAAGAGAGAAGTGTACATTTCGTGTTGATACTGGCAACCATGCTACTATTTTTTACTTGGTTGAATATAAAAGTAGTTTAATATTCGAACGCGTTTCACTTTGAACTGCCAACACTAATGAGATCGGTCTTCATAATATCAAAAAGTAGGGTGCAATACCAAAAATAAATAGAAAAATTTCTGCTATAAGGCCTGTTATCTCATACGGGTCTTAAATACTACATTTTAAACAATTCAGCTCACGAATGTGGCTAGAATAATCAAAATACGGATTCTAAGCGGGTATTGTTACATGGAAACAGTGGACCAATAGTAAGGTTTTTACAAATATAGAATTTTAATAAAAATTAAAAAAATCCTTTAACTTTGGTGTGACATGAAATTATGAAATTAGTTTCGCCACTACGTAATTCGGTACTACACTTCAATGCAATACTCCTGCAATTTCATTTCTCAAGATATCGAGTCAATTAAATAATGATAATCAAATTGAAAAAACCGTTCGATAAGAATAAAATATTGATTTTTATTTTGTTCATAGCTTATCCTTTTCTGATATGATATTATTCGTATAATTCCACTTACCCAATAAATACATAAAATCTCTAAATAACAGTTTCGTCCGTTGTCGCTTTATACTCCCCAAAAAGATCGCACAACATATTAGAATCATGCAAAATAAAGCATACATATTTAACATTACACATCTACATTTTAAAAGTCAAAATGAACATTTTCAAATTTGGTTATTTTGAATATGAATCGTTAAAATCAGAGCAAAAAAGAAAACGCACTATCACCTTAAATTCCATAACGAATAACTTTTTTTCTGGAAAATTCTCACCAAAATAAATTTATACGCTTGTAAACAATACAATGAGCTGTCACTGGAATAATTTTAACAGCTGTCGGACGAGTGGCTTAGAAATGACAGCAGTCTGAAGTTGGTCTAAGTTTGATAATAAGTTTGATAATAATATTGCGATGTACCAAGTTTGGATGAAATCGGATACTCCCTTCGAAAGTTTTCGTACGCTGATTTGGTCCAAAGCTAGGTCCACAGAGACCTTTGGTCTAAAAACGTTATTTCGATGTGGCACGTTTCGGCCGTATAAAATGATATATACCCTCTCTAGCCATATGGCTTTGTCTGCCAACAGAGCATTTCAGAATGGTAGAGGAAGATAGATATTTGCTAAAATATACGCATGCAATATTGAAATGTAAAATTTGTGACACATTTTTTAATGTTCGAAATCCACGTAGACAAACGCCCAATAAAAAGAGGAAAAGACTATGCTCTTGATCCTATTGAAGTTTTTAACCTTATATGTCTCTGAATGTTGAGGATATCCATGCAATATGACACTATATTACTTTCAACATATAGGCATAAAAATACGCACATACCAATATTACATCCTGTGTGAATATCTGATATATCGGTTGCTTAATCTGATACATACTATAATTTTGTTTAAGTTAGATCCACTTGAATCAAACAGTTCGTCCATTGTTGATATTTCCCATTTCTGAATGTTTATACGAATGTAAATGCAAAAGAAAAGCACCGCTCCAAAAATAAAAAAAATTGAAAAACTTATTTGGAACGGTATTTTTCTTTCGCATCCTTTTGAGAGTCCATATACAAAACTAATGCCCTGAATACCCTGAGTTCACCGTTCACTTATTTTCGGAATTCAATTTAAATGTATTTACCTGTAGGTATTTGGTATCACTGTGATATAGTTAATTTAATTTATTTTAACTTTTAATTTATTTTATTTTATTGAAGATGAAATTCACAAATTTCGAAATATTGGAAAATAAAATAAATACAACAACAAAGCCCTCATGTTTTATTAAAAAAATAAAAATGTTGAAAAATTAAAAAAAAAACATTAATAGATATTTCAGATATTTTAGAAAATTTCTAAAACATTACAATTTACTTTATTTGATGAACTACAAATAGAATAGAATTTTGGAATTAGAGATGGAATAAATGAATTACAATTGATATTTCGCTTGAATCGCTTTTAAAAAGTGTGTTGTAATATTAATTTTCTAATAAAAAATTCTTGTCACTTTCCTTTTTAATTAAAAATAGCAAAGCTCAAAATGTATTATACCTATTTAGATGTGTTGCAGTATATTAACATTTTTGAGGCTGTAAGGTACATATTTGAAAAAGTTCTTGTCATTTATTCTATTGACAACTGCACACACAATAGACATTGCTAGTTCAAGCATCGCTTTAGTAGGTATGTATTCGTATGAGAACACATTTTTTCTCTCGGCCATCTTGTATCTCAAATTTGAAATTTTCACTTTAGTCGAGGACGAGATGTGGAACAGTTACGTTGTTGTGAAAAAGCTAAGCGAGTATTTTTAAGGATATTTTTTTCTAATCAAATTTAAAACTTTTGTACAACTCTTTTTTATTTACACATATTCAAAATCGCATTATAAATACTACCTAAAATACTTAACATAGGCAATATTAATTATAAGATCTGTTAATAATAAAAGTCGAATTCAGCAATTTGTATAAAAATGTTATGTTTGAGATAAAAGTGATGTGACGCCCTTAATCGATGAATATAAAATACTGGGTTAAGTGAGAATCTAATGGTATAAACTTGTCCTGGTTTGTTCAGAACTGACTGAAATTAAATTGAAAAACTAAAATTTATACGCCAATTGAATTGAATAGCATCGATATAAAAGTGCGATGACTGTTAAACGTATCAGCCACCATGAATATAAAACAAAATGTATCGGTGTGGTGTAAAATAATAATGGAATAAAATACTGTGTACACAATTTTTAGACGGGCGAGCGAGCGAGCAAGCGAGCGAACAAATTAGTGAATGAGCGACCAGTCAACCAACCGACCCACCGAAGAACCAAATATTCACACGCACGTGTATTTTACTTAATACTTATGTATGCTTATACGACTATCATACATTTAGAAGGGAAGCGAACCCAAAGCAAAGCATACTTTAGGGAGCGGTGTTTTCTGTCAGCTAATGCTTAGCTTTTGTAAACATGGATGTATGTGTTTGTGTTAAAAGAAGAGATATGCGCTGCAGACACCTGAGTTGTACGGAAGGCCAGCAGGAGTAGCCGCTTCAGAACCGTGGGGTGTAGCATAATATTCAATCGCTGTAATGTGTGAGTACAAATAATATTACTTGTATATGTACATACATTTATATTTACATGTGTTCAGATTTGTGTTCTATATTGCATGCAAAGGAAATCTATTCAAAAGTCAAAGATGCGACATCACAAACACATTTTGTGGTTGTAGTAGAGAGAAAGAAACTGGAGCAAATGAATTATTCAAGGGAGAGAGAGAGAGAACGAGAGAAGGGTCATAGGTATAGAAAAAGAGACACAATGTTATAGAGACAATTTAATACTGGGGCACTTCCGATGAGCACGTTTTGAATAGCGCAAACTAAGTTACCAAAAGGATGTAGAATTGGCAAGCAAAGTATTTCACTGAAATGTAACAGATGTCACTGCTTCAATGCAGGAGCATATGAACGAAGCAATAGAAATTAGTGTATGTGCTTGTGTACACTTCCTCTTGTTGATGTGATTATTACCTCTAAACGGTAATTTGCATTAATTCAATACTCCGCGAGTAGGCCGTTTCGAAAAATGCATTTGCACATTTTTGTAATATATATTTTTTTGGAAGAAAAACTAATCAACATGTGTTCGGAAAAATAACTTTATTTTCAACGTCTTTTGAAGAATATGGACTCATTATAAATAAAATAAATGTAAGCTGGTAAACTTATCGTTGTTGTTCCCGATAATATTGCGTAATGCGAGGATTTGATGAATAAACGCAACAACAATAAAATATACCACAAATAATTTTTCTTCAGATATTATGTTTTTAGGCAATTTTTGACAGCATAAATCAAAAGCACATTACCAAGCCTAATTTCAGAGCGGCTTTAACCAAAATCCACAATTTGATCCATGTTGACATTTTTAGGGATTTCCTTTAACTATTGCTATTCGTATTGCACGCAACCTGTTGAAAAGGTTTAATTTACATTAGTGTTTTATGAGTTCTGCAATACAATAAAGACACACAATTCGTTGGTAACATTATATTATATACAACAAATAGTTTGTAATTTTTAATGTTAATTCTATTATATTATAATTCAGAATATTTCTAAAAAATACACGGCCCGAACTATGTTTATCAAAATAACATGAAATAATGAACAAAGTAGAAAAAGATAACTTATAATTACAATACGTTTTAATTAAACTGAAAAAATAGTCCAAATAGCGTGGCGTGGTTGGAAATTGTATCAGAAATCTTACAAAAATTAGTGGACCTTAATTAAACATTTTACAAAATGAGAGAACAGACGATTCAAGAACCACAAATGTTAAGCTTCAGCCGATTTGATTGGAAATTGTTTCAGAAACCTTCAAAATACCGAAAATTCTGAGGTACCGTTATGCGGGGGCTATACCAGTTAGTTTGCCTGTAGCGTACCATGAAATCCAAATGTAAGGTTTCAAGTGATTTGGATTTGGTTGGAACCAGGACTATCCGATTTTTTTGTACCGCCATCGCCAAATCAATTGTCAGAAATAGCCAAAAATCCACAAAACGAAAATTCTTCAGTTTATGTTAAAAGTTATACTGCATTTTTTAATAATTTCTAATTAATTTATCTAATGCAAATTCTTCACGTTCATAGAAAGAATTATTTAAATCTTAGTGATCATTTAAATCTACTTGAGACCAATTGCTACTATTACAAGACATGAACCAGCATACAAAATTTTTAGTCATAGGCTGTAGTACCCATTACGAACTTTGAATATGAAATTTGAAATAATCCTGGTGAAGAATGTCGCTATACGAAATTTTTAGGCATAGGTTGTAGCACCCATTACAAAAATCGAATACGATTATACAAAAACGCGGACAGATGGACATCGCTAAATCGTCCTAGAATGTCCTATGGTCTACCATAAATATTTCGAAGAGTTACAAACGGAATGACAAAGCTAATATACCTTCCATAGAATGGTGGAGGGTATAAAAAAGATGCAAGTTCAAAAGAGAACGACAAAAATTACTGAAAATAAACTCGCCAAGTCTAAATCTTTTTGAAAAGTTGAACCTTTTTAACATATCTTGAGTTGGTGTACAAGAATAACAACATATTTATTTGTATTAAAATAATTTATTACTCGCTAAAGAGCATCCAAAATATCAAGATGGATCTTGACAGGCACTACTGTTAATGATATTTCTTCAACGTGCCGCATCACGGTGATCATAAACACCAAAAATCATGTATTTTTTATATTTATTCCAATTTATAGATTTTAATTTCAGCCGTAGTTCTTAATTTTTCATGGCTTCTCGACAACTTAGATTATGTTTGCGATAATTGACTGCAATTAAAATTGAAAATGGTGCATTAAAGCTTTTTCTTTTCCGATAATCGGTTTTGTCAATGGCAGTTCTCAAGTCATTGATTATAAACTACAAATTGAAAGTATTTTCTGTTAAAATTTAAACAAAATTAAAAAAATGCGTAATTTTCTACAATTCGCCAATAAAATCGGCAACTGTTCTATAATCCGACGCTATACCTAAACGTGGTCCAATATAGCCCATTTTCAATACCAATCAGCCTGCATATAATTTTTCCTTTGTACCAAATTTCAATACATATACTTTTTGGGGTCACCACCGAATATTTCGAGGTATGGCAAACGAAATGACAAATTGAATATTGAATTAAATGTCGTTCGCTGGTAATTGAATCAGTTGAAAACAGCTAGACAGATTTGGATATTTTTTTTACAAATGTTCTTCATTACCCAACTATGGAAAGAACAAATTGACCACGCAACATAATGAAGATATCGGTTTGAAAACGTTTGAAAACGAAAACATTGACCTATTACAAATCCTCACATTTCTATAGAAAAGGCCGAATTAATGTTCCACTTAATTTCAACTCTACATTTATATATTGCTTCTATCTTTCTTATTGTGGATCGAAACAACACAAAAGACTTAGATTTTTCTATGCTAAAAATAACAATATGTTTGTGTCACCTCAAAATAATTAGAATTAAACACCGAAATATCGTCGTATTATTTAACAACCGTTAAAAACTCAAATATGTTTAACAGGCCTCATAATTGAATGACGTATTTGAGAATTTGTCTCGTAGGTGCTTGGATGTAATTTTTCTTCATAATTGTAGAAGTATATCTGAGCAAATATAGATGATACTTTTTTTTCTTTTTTAAAATGTAATTACTTAGAAACACTTCTAATAAGTCAAAATTGTTGTTCATTCGTTTGTTAAAAATATTGACCAATAACTTATTCATTTAATCATTAAAAATGGATATCTCGAAATCCATGGGAGTTATGAGACAACTTGATACACCTTTTTAAAGAGCATACTAAAAAAAAAAAACATTACACTATTATTTATATCTCTAGAAGTAAACTAAATAGAGTAAGGATCACCCAAGCACACATTCAATGAATTGTCATCAAGAACGTCTAATAAACTTATTCAAAAGACTATTCTCTTAAAATATCACAAACATTTCAAATAGTAAATAAGTGTAAAGCTTATAAAACAATATATGATCCGGCACAGAAACATCAAATATTTGTCTTCTTAACTTACTCACGCAAAATTAACGAAAAAATTCTTTTATCATGGATTTCACAATTATCAGAAATATGCTAGGATTCTGAACAAAGTTTCAAAAAAAAAAAAAAAAAAAAAAAAAAAAAAAAAAAATTATATATAATATATATATATATATATATATATAATTATATAAGTAATAATAATAATAATAATAATATAATAATAATATAATAATAATAATAATATATAAGCAATAATAATAATGAATAATAATAATATAATACATAATAATAATATAATAATAATACTAATAATAATAATAATAATAATTAATATATAATAATAATAATAATAATAATAATAATATAATAATAATAATAATAATAATAATAATATAATAATAATAGAATAATAATAATAATAATAATATAAATAATAATAATAATAATAATAATAATACTAAGAATAATAATAGTAATAAATATAATAATAATATAATATAATAATAATAATAATATGAATATATAATAATAATAATAATAAGAATAATAATAATAATAATAATAATAATATAATAATAATAATAATAATAATAATATAATAATAATAATAATAATAATAATAATAATAATAATAATAATAATAATAATATAATATAATAATAATAATAATAATAATAATAATAATAATATAATAATAATAATAATATAATAATAATAATAATAATATATAATAATAATAATAATATTAAAAATAATGCAATAATATACAAAATTCAAAAAACAACTTAGATTTTTACAATTCTCAGCCATTCTCAAATGGTTACATTCCCTTTGAAAACAACCCAAATAAAAATTGGTAAACTTTTTAAGTTCAACGGTTTTATGTTAAACATACTTTGCGATGTTTAAGATGAATGTACCAAAAACCAAAAAAATAATAAAATAGATACAGTCGTTGGAGTTATAAACATATGCATAGACTAGACTAAAATAATTTGTTTTGTAATGCTACACTATAATTAGGCAACGCCGACAACGATGGGCGTATGATAAATAGGGCTAGGATGTGGAAACAAACTAGCAAGCTTCATTATAAGCGAGTTTTAGGGTTTCATAGTGGCGAGTATTACTTTTACCATATGTTTTGTCGATAAAAGACAAACTACGAGCAGTGAAACGATTCCTGGCCAGCCAGCAATGTCCCATGATTAACTAGTTGAACCATCTTTTTTATTTACATGGAGGGTATAACTATTGGAAAATTCATGAGCAAGAAAATAGTAAGTAATTTCCTCACCGTCTGCGGGCCACTGCTTAACGATGAATTAAACGATTCTTCTATCGCATATTAAGTCGATAATTTGTAGACAATTGACGTGCCCCACGGTTTTATTTTAGTCAAGTCGACGCATATGTTTATAATTCCCACATCGGTATCTATTTTAGCATTTTTTGGTTTTGAGTACATTTATCTTAAACATTGCAATGTATGTT